TTAAATGGTTTATATTTAGATGGAACATCGGCCATACAAGACCATATAAACCTTACACCTGCAGCTAATTAGTCAACACCTTCTGACCAATCATAACTGAGAATTCAGTTGTTGTGGTATAATATTTATTACTGTTGTGTTGTTTATACTTTAGATGACTGTAGCTCTGTTCTTCCCACTGATATCCTTGCATATGCTTCTAGTGCGGGGCAGTCTCTCTGCCCAGCACTGACTTACCACTTAATTCTGATCTAATGCTGTTCTTAAAAATGAACTGAAACCAGTCAAATGTACTACTTAGCTATCTGCTGTGTCCATTTGCACCATTTTTTAAATGTAATTTTTCTAATTTAATATGGTTCCTGAAATCCCATTTCCAGGAATGAAGCAACAAGTACCAGGAGCAAAAATAGTCCAGTGCTGAGTTTGTTATGACAGCTATAATCATTGACATTTACATATTTGGCTGACACTTTTATCCAAAGTGACTTATAATTGAGACAGGAGACAAGCAGTTTTTAAGCGATAAAGGGCCTCGCTCAAGGGCCAAACAGTGGCTGGGATTTGAATTCATGACCTTCTGATCAGTAGTCCATTGCCTTAACCACCTAGCTACCACTGCCCCATACACACAATCCCCAGGTGATGTCTTATTTATTAGTCCACTGGGCCACAGGCTTCTTTACAGACCGCTTCTTTAAAGACTAGTTATCCACATGGAAGATTTGTTTATCTGCTATTACTCTATGAGGAAGAGACAGGAGTCAGAGCTAGAGGTAGCAGAGCTGAAGATGTTGAGGTTCTCTTTGGGAGTGACGAGGTTGGACAGGATTAGGAACGAGTACATCAGAGGGACAGCTCATGTTGGACGTTTGAGGGACAAAGTTAGGGAGGCCAGATTAAGATGGTTTGGACATGTTCAGAGGAGGGACAGTGAGTATATTGGTAGGAGAATGTTGGACATGGAGCTGCCAGGCAGGAGGTGAAGAGGAAGGCCAAAGAGGAGGTATATGGAGGTAATAAATGAGGATATGAAGCTAGTGGGTGCAAGTGTTGAGGATGCAGAAGATAGGGTTAGGTGGAGAGTGATGATTCGCTGTGGCGACCCCTGAAGGGAAAAGCCGAAAGAAGAAGAAGAAGACTATTACTCTATGAGATGTAGAAAATGTAGACTCATCCATAGTCATGAAGTTAAGAAGAGGTGATAGGAAGGCCAAGAAGCATTAACCATGCAAAATATGAATTTCCTTCAATACTAGTATCCTGTTTTTTTTTTTGGTTCAGTTTCACAAAATTGGTTTTTGAATATTGTTTGATTTACACCAAAGATCCTTTGACTTCCATTAGATCCATTAGACTCAAATGGAGATGTACCACACTTACATGCATTCAGACCAAGTCCACACGTGGGTGTGGTGTTTGCTGTTTTGCTGTTCAAACTCATTAGCAAATGAATCTATCATAAAGACAAGTATTGAGGTAATATTTCTTTCTTTCTTTATTTTTTTTTCCCTTTAGAAAGTCATTGCTGACTGCCACTTCTGGCTGTGAAGTCCAAAGAGAGGCACACCACAGCATCCAATCTATCACAGAGTAGAACTGTGAACACAAGACGCCTCCTAGGAATAATTATTAAGTTGTCACTGTGGAGGTACAGGCTGTAGAAATGGGCTAGAATATTGTGTTCTTAGTTTGAGGAAGAGTTGAAAAAAAAAAAAAA